CTAAATAGGATTCACAGGATGCTGAAATAGTTTGCAGAAGAGGGCCATTTCTCTATACTCAAGGATGAGCTGATGTTCAGCACCTACCCAGCAGTCTATCTAGCCACCTGGGATAAGGAATTAAGGCATCTAATCAGAACCATTTTACTTTTATCAGGTGGAACACAATACAATCCCACCCAAAATCTCTGAAAATTTGTGTTTGGGGGAGAAAAAAAAAAAGAGAACAGCATTTTGTAAAACTGATCTAAACCAACCAGAAAATATGACTGATGGCAGCTGACCCCACACCTTATACTTAAAACTAATTGAAACCCATCCCCCCCCTACTATGTTTAAGATACAGTAAGGCTAGGTTCACACCTATGCAGTTTGCATTTGATCCATTTCTGCAGAGCTGTTTTTTTTTTTGTTGCTAGGCAGATTAAAATGCATCAAAAACACACTACAAGCTTTTCTGCAGCGTCGCCATTTAAGTTTATAGAACCAAAAATGCAACATTTTCTGTTTGAAAAGAGTCAGGGACTTTTTTTTTTTTTTTTTTTTTAAAAGCACACCGGGTGAAAAACACAGATGTTAATGTGTCCCATAGGAAATCCTGTTAAATGGACTGTAGTGCGTTTCTGGAAACCGCTTAGGTGTGAACCTAGACTAAAGGGAGGGTTATAACCTGAAAGGTTTGTCATGTGTCCAGTTATAGACATTACCCTTCACCTCCTTTCCCATAGTCTAAACAGGAATGAGAGGAATCCCTTGGGTGTCACCAGAACTATTGCCCCCACTAGAGGATTGTAACGCCTGGGAGTTCCCCCTATTACCTTTTATAGTGTTGCTGACACTTCTTGTGTTCCTACACGTGACAAACAAAAAACACCTGAGCTCTCTTGGCTCCCCCTATACAAAATAGGTGCTGTAATACACAGTTATGAGTAAAACCAAATATAACCCACAATACACAGCACTTCCATAAAGTGCAAACAATTGTACACGTGTAATTGCTAATATATAGACGTGTGACTTCTTAAATATATACAGTGCTTCATATATATCCTTCAAATCAAGCCATTGTCCATAAAGTGCAACAGTTCCTTCACGACAAAGTGCAATGATATGTCTCCTCTGTGTAAATAAAGTGCTTCATGCAATTCCACCACTTCCAATTTCTGTTCCTTGTGCTCCACTCCACCTCCGCATGCCACCACTACTGCGACCTCACCAGATAGCCATGACCTTCTCAATTAAGAATTGGTCTATATGCGCTTGCTTGTATAAATAGGATCCCCACTCCACCATGCTCTTCACTTGTGACTTCACTATGGGTATCATGTATAAAAAAAAAAGGGAGAAGGAGACTCCAATAGTGTAAAATACCCTTTATTAAAAACTCACATAGCAAACATAAAACCATTGGCATTTAATAGTGCATAGCACTCTGCACTTGTGTTTAAAACGCTCAATCTCATACCCGGCCCGCCTTGCATGAGGGCAGAGCTACGGGAAGGGGCGACCCAGAACGGTGAGAGGGCATGGCTGTCTGGTGAATTCTCAGTAGTGGTGGCACACGGAGGTGGAGTGGAGCACAAGCAGCAGAATTTGGAAGTGGTGGAATCGCATGAAACACTTTACACAAAGAAATTACATATCGTTGCACTTTCATGAAACAACTGTTGCACTTTATGGACAATGGATTGATTTGAAGGATATACATGAAGCATTTTAAAAGTTTAAGAAGTCACAAGTTTATATATTAGGAATTACACGTGTACATTTGTTAGTTGCACTTTATATTTATGTAAGCACTGTAGATTGTGGGTTATATGAATATAAATAAACCTATGTGGCAGTGTCATGCAGTTTAAAGTACATTAATCCATTGAACATATAAAAGTGCGCTATCCTAACACATCAATGTATTATATGCTTCATATATCAAAACAAATGTGATCAAATAAAACGCCAAAAGTCCACGAGAAATGTACACAATAGATCTTAAATTTGTGCAAGATTTCCAAAGACATGCTGGTAGGTTAATTGGCTCCTGTCTAAATTGTAGTATGTATATGTATGAATGTGAGTTAGGGACCTTAGATTGTACGCCCCTTGAGGGTTAGGGACTGATGTGAATGTACAATATACGTAAAGCACTGTGTAAATTGACAGGGCTGTATAAGTACCTGAAATAAATAATTTCAATTCCTTAGTTCGTTTATATAGCCTCCACTTTTAAGCTTATCACCATGTGTATCTCTTCCATCACCTATTTCCATATGCTCTCACCCTGTTTTGACCCAACAAAAAAGGTCTCATGCTCCTTCCCCTTATAGTGAGGACTTTATCATTGGAGAGGGGGCTCTCTCCTCCTCCTCTCTGATGATTTTCAATCCACCTCCATCCTCCACAATCCAACATACACAAGATTCCCTCAAAAGGGGACCACTTGATGAAGTTATGCGATTGGCTGACGTAACCACAGGGAGGAGCTGAAGCTTATCCATACTATGAGCCTGGATACTGAAGTACGCCAGTTATAGTGTACAATATAAGTTGAGTATATTTTAAACTTTGATAAAATATTGGTACCCATACAGAGCGCTTGCTATATTTTTTTTGAGAGAATCTCAGGTGTATGTTGCAGGATTGCAGAGGATGGAGGTGGATTGAAATCATCAGTGGAGAGAAGGCGAGAGCCCCCAATATAAGGGGAAGGCGCATGAGACCTATTGTTGGGTTAAAACATTAAGGTGAGAGCATATGGAAATAGGCGATGGGAGAGATACAAGTGATAAGAAGGTAAAAAGTGGAGAATATATAAAATTACATTAAGGAATTGAAGTCTTGCACAAATATAAGAACTAATTGTGGACATTTTTCATATGGACTTTTGGAATTTTATTTGAGCACATTTGGGAATTTGAACACATTTGTTTGGACATATGCAACATAATACATTGGTGTGTTAGGAATATTATTACACAGGATTTATATAGCGCCAACAGTTTGAGCAGCGCTTTACAATGTGAGGAAAAACCATACAGTTACAATTAGGGATGCACAGAAATTTTGGTGACCCAAACATTTCGGCCGAAAATGTCCCTATCGGCCGGTGGCAGATATGAAAACCAGCACCAATATAGGTGCGAAAATAACCCTGCTCCCTCGCCGCCCATTTGCTGGCTCATGTCTTACCCAAGAAACCACCAAATGATCCCAGCGCTGGGCATAGAGATAAGTGGACGATGAGGAAAATGATGAAAAGATTGAAGGAAAGATGGCCTCCACTCACCTCTATGCCCTTGGAGTCCCGGAGCGATGTCACTTCCGGTTTCCAACACCTTGTAAACAAGGCCATTTTGTTTTTTTAAATTACTAGATCAATGCTTTTCTTGATCAAATACTTTAATTATAAAGAGATGTGGGGTCTTGACATTATTTCTCAAGGATGCATGCATTCCTCATGATAGGAATAAAAGTGATTTTTTTTTTTTTTTTATTTTTAAAGAGACCAAAAAAAAAAAAAAAAAAGTTTCAAGTGCCCCCGTCTCCCTATGCTCACATGTAGTGATGAATGCATACGTATGTTACACATATGTTTATTGTGTTCAAACCACACATGTGAGGTATTGCCACAAACATCAGCGCAAGAGCAATAATTCTAGCCCTAGACCTCCTCTAACTTTACACTGGTAACCTGTAGACATTTTTAAAGCATCACTCATGGAGATTTTTTAAGTACTGTAGTTTGACACCATTTCATGAGCGTGCGCAAATTTTAAAAAAAGCAGGACATGTTGGGTATTGAAAAAAATTGCATTTAAAAAAATTTCTAAAATCGGTCTATTTCAGTTTTGGCCAAGTGCATCCTGAACTTTTGGTACCAGAATTTTCATTTTGGTGCACCATATTTACAATACAATTGAATACAGGAGGAATCAGAGCTTACAATCTAAAAATAGGATAACTCACTTTGTATGTTAGATGGATTAATGCACTTTATACTGCGCAACACTGTCACATAGATTTATTTATATTTTGAAAAAAAAAAAAAAATAATATGATGCAACTGCAGTGTGAGCTGGAGTTTGGATGTACTATCAGATTTAGATACACTAACAAAGTGATGCCAAACACTAATCTAAGTGTCCTGCGTCACTAATACAGGAGGTGTGTTACTGGCCATATCACCAGGTAAAAGACAAAAAAAAAAAAAAAAAAAGAAAAAAAAACAAAAAACACACCTAAGAATTGCTAAACTGCAATACATTACATTTTGGGTCTGAGTATTATACAGCTTTAAAATTACTTTCAAGGTGTAACAAATACATAAATAAAAAGGAAAACTAAACAAAAAAAAAAAAAAAAGCCTAAAGCATGCTTAATGGCTTGTTTTGTATCAGTGACACAGCTTGAGCTTTTAGAAAGATTTTTAATCCTGCTGGTACCATATTTAGTACAGTCAGTTTTCTGTGTTTTGTTTTTTGTTTTTTTTACAACAAAAGATGCATCAAATACAGATCATACAATACAGAAACTTTGCCATTACATAAAAAGCAATGTTGTTTAGTGGCAAAAAGTCTCCAATCCTAAAAGGGATAACCTTTTAGATAATAGACATAGCACCATAGAGATTAACAACCCATGATAACACAAAAGCTAACTAATGGGAGTGCATATTCAATGAAGGCAAAATTATAAACCTGGACAAAGCATGTCTGTATTGATGTCCATCAAGTTTTTTTTTTCCTTTTTAAAAAATAGAGGATGAAGACACTACATAAAATTGGATGTCAACCTGCTTTAGAGACTAAGGCAAACTGGTGTGTTAATTCAAAGAGGAGCTTGGGAGGGGATGATAAAGTCATTGAAAAATATATAAAACCAAACAGCACCCACAGTCAATACATTTGACCTGGCAAAACTGTAAATCCTGCAGTTTCTTCATCTAAACTTTGGAATCACTAACAGAAAAAAAAAAGGAATGACATTATTGGGGTTTGGGCTTTTCAGTTAGACTCATCACTAGCGGAGGATGCAATGTCCAGATCTATAGAACCATTATTAACAACAAGACGCAGTCTTTTGGAAGGGGGTAAAAGGACTAAAGGTCACACTTTTTTTCTTGCTGCCATTAGTCAAAAGTTCAGACTGTGGTGAGATGAACATGCTCATGTCAGCAGCTCCCTCTGTTAATGGCACAGGACATGTTTGTGCTTCTGAAACAGAGATTCTTCTTTTGAGATTGTTGTGTTTAAACTAAGTTCTACGTATGGCTTTAAAGATAGCTTGGGATCCGACTGCAGTTCGACACTAAGTAGTTTATGAGGAGCAGAGTGACGCCTTTCAAGTCTACTACTTCTATGGTTGCCTGCCAGTTTATTGTGCCCATTAAAGTCTAGATGAGTTGTCTGCCTCTTTTTACGAAAAGCAGTCTGTCTTTCTTTTGGCTCTTCAAACAATATAGGTCTGGATCGTAAAGAGAAAACTTTACTTGTGTATGTCCTTGGTTTCACATTTCTATCAGCTGGTTCAGTTAAAGAGCTGTCTGCATCCACGACCTGACTGTCAACAGCATTTTTCACTACCATCTGATCATGAGCAATTCCAGTAAATGGCTTTTGATTGCAGCTACGCTTATGCTTTCTGACATAATAGAAAGAGCTTGGAGTGTTTAAATATTCAGCACCTGAAACTCTTGATTTGCTCAAGTTGACTGTGATGTAATGTGTTAAACCAAGCTTTTTAGGCAACATAAAATCTGGAGAGAATTTGAAGCTTGAATTGTTTAGGTTCACAGTGTTTTTCAGGTAAGGATCCAGCTGGTGGAAAGTTATCGTCCTCCTGCATTTGAGACACTACAGTTGAACATAATCTATTAGAGTTTAAAGGAGAAACAAGAACACCCAACTCTGGTTGAGCCATGGTGATATCAGCGCCATTTATGTTCATTCTGTCAGAGTTTGAAATGGAATCGGATGCAAAGTTTTGATTTTCAGAGACATCTACATCTGGTTCATCTATACACAAGCTGGTACAGGTTGAGAGGATTTCGGAATCTAAGCTCTCCTCCACCACACTATGTTCATTCAAAGTATGATCTTTGGCGTTTTGCTCCACAGCATTGGTTTTGCCTTGTAGAGATATTCGAGATGAATTGTGCAGGGCTTTATCTAAGCCTTGGTAAAACCTTAGCTTATCAGGACTTACATTTTGCCGCTTAAGTCTCACCACAGGTTCTTTGCCCAATTTGCAGCCATGGACTTCACTAGGTGTTCCTGCAGCTGAGTGTCGACTACATTTGGAATTGTGCAGGTTTATGCGAATGTCTCTTATGATGGTTCCTGGAGGCAATGCAAAATTCACTTGCATTTGTGACCTATTAATAGAACAGCGCCGAGTTCCATGGCAAGACCGGGAATATGGAGATGAAAGTGGCGACCTGAGACGTGACAGAAAAGTGCTATTCTTGCAATTTACAGGGCTCTTTTTGAGGCTTGGTGATGATCTACATCTTAAACCTTAAAATAAAAAACACAATTATGTGAGCATGAATCAGTAACTTTATCATGATACAGACATAGGATTGGAACAAAATACAATTACAGTAAACATTTAAAAATTACAGCTAAAGAATGAGCCACATGTACAAATAAATGATCCACAAGTACATCTTTAAAAAGGTCACATTTGCATTTCCGTGGTAATTTTGAGTTCCAAGGACAGAATAGGAAGTGTGAAAAATTACAGAACCATCCTTTACTAGTTTGGACAATTCACACCTTCAGTGATTTAAAACCAAGAATTAAACATTTATAGAAAAAAAAAAAAAAAAAAAAAAAAAAAAAACACTTTCCTGCACCCAAGGATGGGATTAGGCAACTAGTACAGGCTGGTTCCACACTTGTCACGCCTCCCATCTGGTCCTTCAGTTGCCAATACAGGGATTGAAATTTGATTGGTTCAGCAGGGACTGGCTGAATTTTGATTCATGCATGGGGCTAGCTGGTTGTACACAATCTGATCCATTGATCAACTTGTGTACAACTAGCCTGTCGGGTTTTTCCTGAACAGTAAGTGCCACCAGCTATAGCTGGCAACACTGATCGTTGTATTCTGCCAGCAGGGAAGGATCCCTGCTGGCAGAACACATTAGGAGGAGCGATTCTCCCATCCACACTGAATGTGTACATGGGGTAATCAGTTTTTTTTTTTTCATATCTATATTTCAACCAGCTGGTTGAATGAAAAAAAAGAAGGAAGGCGGTATGGCCTGACTTGGACAACAATATCTGACCTTTCATGGTGATATGATCAAGGAGTTGGCACTACCTGTTTGGATACAAATGCAGGGGAATTTTCCAAACTTTCATTAAAACGGAAGTGGCGGCTTTGACAAGCAACAAAAACTTCAACATTCTAGAACAAATCAAAATATATTCAAGAAAAAAAAAAAAAAAAAAAAAAAAAAAAAAAAAAAAGAATCTTACTTGAGACACGTTTTCTTTTTCGGGTAGTGCCATGCTGGGTTTGTTTGTCACTATGACCTTGCAACCTTTGCAGGCGACCATCAGTTTCTCTGAGCTGGTATTTCTCTAATGAGGTAGATTCACAGGGCTCTTTCTTTTGAAGTCTGAATGCTCCCTCCCCTTTTCTGAAAGGAACACATCTTGAAATGCACATGCATGTGAAAAAGACAAATATTTGCACCAGTGAAGCAAAACCTTTAAATAAAATATTGTGAAAAGTATCCCTTGAACTGTAATAGTGATGGATTTATACAATATACTGCTTCAAGTATTGGGGCACCTGTCTTTACATGCACATGAACTACAATGGCATCCCAGTCTTAGTCCGCAGGGTTCAATATTGAGTTGGCCCACCCTTTGCAGCCATAACAACTTCAACTCTTCTGGGAAGGCTGTCCGCAAGGTTTAGGAGTGTGTCTATGGGAATGTTTGACCATTCTTCCAGAAGTGCTTTTGTGAGGTCAGGCACTGATGTCAGGCCTCTGCAGGCCAGTCAAGTTCCTCCACCTCAAGCTCGCTCATCCATGTCTTTATGGACCTTGCTTTGTGCACTGGTGCACAGCCATGTTGGAACTGCTCTAAAGCCCAGAGCTTTGCACCACTGCATCCGACGCTTTGCATTGCACTTGATGTAAGGTTTGGCTGCAGCTGCTCAGCCATGGAAATTCATTCCATGAAGCTCTCTCTATATACTGTTGTTGTGCTAATCTGAAGGTCACATGAAGTTTGGAGGAATTTAGCTATTGACTCTGCAGACAGTTGGTGACTTTTGTGCACTTCAACATGCGCTGACTCCGCTCTGTCATTTTACGTGGTCTACCACTTGGTGGATGAGTTGCTGTTCCCAGTTGCATCCACTTTGATACAACACTATTAACAGTTAACTGTGGAATATTTGGTAGCAAGAAAATTTCAGATGGACTTCTTGCACGGGTGGCAACCTATCACGGTACCACGCTAGAGTGACCCATTCTTTCACAAATGTTTGTAGAAGCAGTCTGCATGCCTAAGTGCTTGATTTTATACATCTGTGGCCATGGAGGTGATTGGAACACCTAAATCCAATGATTTAGAGGGGTGTCCCAATATTTTTGGCAATATAGTGCATGTACATACAACCCCAATTCCAAAACAGTTGGTATGCTGTGTAAAATCTACATAAAAACAGAATGCAATGATTTGCAAATCTCAACTCAGTATTTTACCCACAATAGAAAACAAGATGTTTAAAACAGGAAACAAAAAAAATTTTGAATTTGATGGCAGCAAGATGTCTCAAAGTTAGACAGGGAGACAGGGCAACAAAAAGCTGGCAAAATAAGTGGTACTAATAAGAGCCAGAAGAGCATTTTGCATCTAATTAGGTTAATTGGCAACAGGTCAGTAACATGATTGAGTATGAAAAGGACATCTTAGAGAGTCAGTGTCTCAGAAGTAAAAATGGGCAGAAGGTTCACCAATCTATAAAAAGCTGCGGTTAAAAAAGGTCAAACAATTTCAGAATAATGTTCAACATAAAATTGCAAAGACTTTAAATATAGGATTATCTATAATACATAAATGCATTTATTACAGGTACTTATACAGCGGCGTCAATTTACGCAGCACGAGATATATATATATATATATATATAGAGAGAGAGAGAGAGAGAGAGAGAGAGAGAGAGAGAGAGAGAGATCTCTCTCTCTCTCTATCACATTCACATCAGTCCCTAACCCTCAAGGGGTGTACAATCTAAGGTCCCTAACTCACATTCATACATGCACATAGTAGGGCCAATTTACACAGGATCCAATTAACCTACCAGCATGTCTTTGGAGTGTAGGAGGAAACCGGAGTACCCGGAGGAAACCCACGCAGGCTCAAAGAGAACATGCAAACTCCAGGCAGGTGGTGCCATGGTTGGGATTCAAACCAACGACCCTAGTACTGCCAGGCGGAAGTGCTAACCATTTAGCCACTGTGCTGCCCAATCAAAATATTCTGAGAATCTGGAGAAAATCACAGTGTGCAAGGGACAAGGTAGAAATACAATACAGAAAGCCTGTTATCTATGGGTCCTCAGGTGACACTGCATTAAAAACAGGCATGACTTGGTGATAGACATCACTGCATGGACTTGGGAATACTTCCAAAAATCGTCTGAAATCAGTTCACCATGCCATCCAAAAATGCAAGGCAAGGCTCCATCATCCAAAGAAGCCATTTCTGAAAATGATCCAGAAACGCTGTTTTCACTGGGCCAAAGCAGATTTTAAAATGGTCTGTTGCACATTGGAAAACTGTTCTGTCAGATGAATCAAAATTTTACATTTTTGGAAAGCATGGGCATTGCACCCTCTAGACAAAGATTAGAGGAACCTCTTGGCTTATCAGCACTCAGTTCAAAAGTCTACATCTCTGATGGTATGGGAAGGGGGGGGGGGGGGGGGGGGTAGGGGTGCATTAGGAAATGGGCAGCTTGCACACCTGGAAAGGCACCATCAATGCTGAAAAGATATATCCAGGTTTTAGAGCAGCACATACTCCCAGCCAGACCAGGTCTTTCAGAGAAGGCCTTTCATATTACTAAACCACATTCTGCATCTGTGACTGGAGCATGGATTTGCAGTGGAAAAGTCCAGGTATTTAAAACAAGCTCGCCTGCAGTCCAGACCTTTATTGGGAAAAACATTTGGTGCACCTTGAAATGATAAATACGACGAACACAACAAAAAGGGGATGGTAAACCTGCTCCTGTCCAGACATTGAGATGTACTGCTGCAATCAGTTTCAAAAATTACTTTTTTTTTTCTAAAAATGGTACATTTTCTAAGTTTAAACATTTGCCATGTGTGCCATTTACGACTGTGAATATTTTTGGTTTATGAGATTTGCAAATCATTGCATTCTGTTTTTATGTAGATTTTACACAGACTCCTAACTTTTTTGCAATAGGGGTTGTAATAAAATCCAGTCAGACACTGAAATATGCCTTGTAGAAAGAAGTGACTGCTGGATTAGGCTCACTTTTGTCTGCCAGTGTCTAAATCCTTATATAGACCGCAGTATAACCCAACAATAATTGAATTCCTGCATTCTTAAAAACGCTAAAGAAATATACATTTGGAAAAAGGATATTAAAAGACCCAACTACTACTCAACGTATGGGCTAATATGCATACATTAAATTAGTTTTCATAGATTGGTTTCTACAAGACTCTCCAGTCAAAAAAAAAAAAAAAAAGTCAAGTGGGAGAGTGATATTTCCCCTACTCATACACAAAACATAACCGGGCTCAGTAATACTGCTGAAGAAAAGACACCAACTAGGAATGTGCCCTGCATGACAGCTAATATGGTACAATAGGTTGTATAAGCAAAGTAACATGAAGGCCAATTATTTATTTCTTGGATTTGAATGCAAATAAGAGCGGTCACAACATTTGGCCAATAAGACAAAATAAGAAAAGGACAGTTTTAGTGAAGTTTGATTGTAAACTAGCAGTGCTGGGTTTAGAGGTGCACATTGAACACTTGATCGGATGGCCATCAATCTACAAGCAACAGGCAAAAGGGAAGGGGGGCTCAGTTATTAGATTACAAAAGTGTAATTTGGTTTACGTGGAAGGTGGAGCATCAATTGGGGGATCATCAGTTGATACCATACACATTCAGAAATTATTCAGGCCCCCTTTCACTTTTTTCCCAATTTTATATTGCAGCCTGATACTACAGTTGTTACAATTTTTTTACGCTCATCAGTCTATATTCAATATCCCAAGACAACAAAGTGAAAACAAAATTTTAGAAATAAATTGCAAAATTAATGAAAAAGGAAAAAATATATCACATTGGCATAAGTATTCAGCCTAAAAACCTTTTGGAAACTCCAAGTGGACTTTCATGTGTTTTGCACTTAGGAGAGGCTTCTGTCTAGCCACTCCACCATAAAACCCAGATAGGTGGAGGGCTGCAGTGATGGTCGTCCTTCTGGCACTTTGTCCCATCTTCACACAGGGTGTCGGGAGCTCAGTCAGAGTGACCATCTGGTTCTTGGTCACCTCTTACTGAAGCCCTTCTCCCCCGAATGCTCAGTTTGTCTTAGCGACCAGCTCTTGCATGAGTCCTGGTTGTGACAAACTTCTTCCATTTGAGAATCAGAGTCCACTGTGCTCTTAGGTACCTTCAGTTTAGCAGATTTTTTTTGTAGCCTTCCCCAGATGTGTGTCCTATCCCTGAACTTTGCAGGCAGTTCCTTTGACCTCATGGCTTTTGCTCTGACACAGTATGCATGGTCAGCTGTGACGGCTTTTATAGAGAGGTGTGTGACTTTTCAAACCATGTCCCACCAATTTACATTTACCACAGGTGGACTTCAATCAAGGTGTAGAAATCTCAGCAATGATCGTGAGAAATGGGATGCACCCGAGCTAAAGTTTCAAGTGTTGTTAAAAAGGGTCCGAATACAAGTACTTGTGATATTTCAGTTCTCTTTTTAATAAATTCACAGACATTTCAAAAATTCTGTTTTCACTTTATCATTATGGAACATTGGGTATTGGGTGTAGATTAATGAGAAAAAAAAAAAAGGACTTTAAACAACTGCAACATAACAAAACTGAAAAAATGTGAAGGGGGTCTGAATACTTTCTGAATGCACTGTACACCCTCTCTCTCCCCCCAAAGTGAAGTGGTACTTCCCATAGCCTGGACTTTAAATAGAACACTCACCTTTCACAAGTGCAGCACTCGCACATCTCATTCTTCTCTCCGAAAAAACTGTCTCCATAGAAGCAGGTGATTTCATCGTCTGGCTTAATGTCCCTGAGAACTTTTACACAAGCTGTATTTCCTTCTGTTGGAACAAACTGAACCACAGAAGAGGAAATTAAGTAAGAGCACTTTTATTACACATCAATTAAACAAGGAATAAAAAAAAAACAAAAAAAAACACAAACAAACAATGCAAGGGCCACCATATAACCCCTCCAACTCCGTTCTTTAGCAAGCATTAAAACCAGAGGGGAGGGTGTCCTGCATCCTGCACCGTATTCCAAGCAATGGATTTTACTGGCAAGTCAAAATATTTTCTGGGGCATAGCCAGAAAGCATGCAAGAAAAATTCATGATATCGCAGTGGAAATGGGAGTGGGTACCTGTCAAAACCTGGTACCTGCTCTGTGACAGAAATATTTATCCACAATCTCCCTCAAGAAATTTAAGATAGATGAATTCAACTTTTTCAGACTGTTGAAAATATTGGAGTTTTGTCTTATGATAGACAGGTTATTCTAGTGAAAGCAAACACTTGAAAGACAGCATATGTAAGGTACTTTGTGTATTCATGAGTGGGCTTGTTGCCAGGAGGTCTGTGGTGGACACCCCGAGTAATCAAAGCATTGTTTGAGTGCTTGGTTAGCTTACTGTTAGCGGCTGACTGTACTTTTTACCATTTGCACTGTTTAGGGTAATGTGATCAAGCTCTTACCTAATCAGTGTGGGGTGTTTATCATAATGTGGAATATTTGTTTTTATTGTTCATGTGGGGACTGCCCCCATTTCTGAGTGTATAAAAACCTGTATTTCTGTTGACTAAAGAGTTCCAGTTTTGCACCTAAGCTAGTGTTGCCTAGTCTTGCGTGTGATGCCCAACTAATACCTTGTTCCTGTGTTCCAGTGGTGAGTAAACAGTTCTCTGATGGAAGCACTCAGGCAGTCCATCACACGCTCCCCACAAAGGTGCCAATCCTTAGGTGGGAGCAGGGGACAGGGCCTTAAAAACGGACCTTCCCCTTTTGGGTGGAGCTCTGCTTTAAGGTGATAGACCTTATCCTTATCTCCTGGGTTCAGTCCAAATTTAGGTTTACTACTTAAGAAAAAAAGAAAAAAAAAAAAAAAAAAAAAAAAAAAAAAAAAAAAAAGGGAGAAGGACAGTATAACTCAAATACTGTGGGGTGTCTAGCTCTCTCAGTGATGTCTCCTCTTGAAGACTAAGCCTACTGTTCATCTCCTAGAAAACAGGATGCAGTCTGTCTATAGTCTAGACATTAAAGAGTTTACATGGCTCCTCCAGCTGATCACCTTCTGCAACATCATGCAAGAACATTTGAAGAAGTTTCAAACAGCTTTCACACAAAGATAGTGACTTATCCCAAAAGGCTGATATGTACACATGAGCTTTGATGTATCCTTTTACCGTGCTTACTAACAAAAAGGACCATTGCACATGTGAATAAATTTCAGCATAAAGCTGGCTATACATGTATCGAATTTCGGCCAGTTCAGCAGGAACTGGCCAAATTTCGGTGTGTGCGTAAACATGTCTGTTTAATAGAATCCAGTGGTTAGACCGGCTTCTGTCGAACAGTCCATCTAGAAAACTACCACCTCCAAAGGCTGCAGCGCTGATCAATGTAAAAAAAAAAAAAAAAGTAACGCTACCAGCTACCATAGATAACTAGCAGTTGCAGTGCTAGTTCTGGATGGGACCCAAGGGAACTTCTGAGTCCGGATGTTTAAAAAGGGTACCAGTAAGAATAGTTGCTATCCCCATGCGGCTTTAAATTGGCCTCTGGGGCTCACAGGATTAAAGAACCATATACCAAGAGAAAAATCTTAACTGGATTTGTGTCAATTTGTCAACCAGTCAAGATTTGTCTTTAGTCTATGGTTCTTAATTAAGAAATAAAATGCTAAGGTTTAGAAATGACGCTCTATAAGCAAATCCATGATGGTCAAATTTGCAAGTAGGATAATACAGCAGAAGTGTATATACCGAGTTGCTGCCTAATGGTTTTACTAAAGATATGGATTCAGTACTAGTATGCAACTGCCATGAAGTCAATTCTCAACATTCATACTTGTTTCATGCCAAAAGGTTAAGCATTACAGGTTATGATAGTGACCAATGCATTCCCCTCACACCAGGATTCCTTTAAAGTCTATTTCCACTTTTGCAGGTAAAAATGCAAAAAAAAAAAAAAAAAAACACACCTCACTAGACATTATACTTGCCAAGTGTTCCCATTCATACAACATGCCCATTTTTTTTTTATCCTTCTCAGCTTTTAGAAGGTTTCTTAGGAGAAGGTGCCAGGTCCGCATGCCGCACAGACCTGACCGCAGGGGGTTTTATACATAACCCAGTGGCTGCAGCCACCAGGATTGTGTATAAAACTGACAGGCAGACTCCTGCCTGCCAGGTGGAAGCAGTCAGGCAGCTCTGCTGTAGCCGATCACTTCCACAGCCCCCTGTGCCCTTCCCAGGGGTTCCCGCCATGTAAAAATCGTGCTCTGCTTGCCCATCTGGGAACCCAGGGAGAGCCATAAACAGGTGCTGGTGAGTAGGGGGGGGGAGAGGAGAGAGGAGAGCAGACCAGCCTTCAATTCACTGTGACTTGGAAGGCAATATCCATGACTTCCCTGTCACTGCTGGTCATTTCCTGGCTAGAATAGCTGGGGGAAAGATGTATTACAATGCGCTTTGCATTGCAATACATCTAACGGAGCCCAAGGAGACATTCAGGGTCTTTTTAGACCCTGCATGTCTCAAGAGAACCTGTCACCAAAAAAAATCATCACAATCACTTTATGTCCCTATGTAATTTGGGGGGGGGGGGGGGGGGGGTTTTGGGGAAACAAAAAACACACACCACAACACCCTTACACCCAAGCACACAATCCCCCCCCCCCCAAAAAAAAAATTGAGGCACCCCCACATATGAACGTAAACGCACACGTTGGGGCATCTACACATGAAAATGCCGATTGTGATGCATATTATATATCAGGGGGGTTTTTGTGTAATCTTCAAGCCTAAACCTATATAAGCATGTATGCAAAAACTGCTCAGGCAGCGAAAGGGTTAAAGACTTGCCTGGACAGCGCAGACAAATGTACATTATAGCAAACACAATTTCCCATCCCCTCAAACAAAAAAGGCAAAACTAGTGAAATTTTTTCCTTCCTGGAGGGTCCAGAATAGAATCTAAAAAAAAGTAAGCAACAATTCTGAAATCTTTTTAAGTCATGCTATGTGAATGGAGATAGGTAACAAATATAAAAAGTAGGTGTTCTCAATTCGGCTGGGAAAAAAAAAAAAAAAAAAAAAAAAAACAGCAACACAACCCGCCAAAAAAAACTCCATTTACTTTGTGCAGTGTAAATTTACCTTGCAGTTGGGCCGACAGTCTTATGTTCACAGAAGTAATGAAAACATGAAGAAAAAAAAAAATATAATATGAATACGAGCAATTGAACTAGAATTATACAAGAAAAACCCACAAAAATGACACTTAAAAACACAAACCTTGCCCATAGCATCTTTGTTAGCATATTATCTGTGATTTCTATAAAATTAGTTATAAGCCAAGTCTATGCACAGTCACAAACTACTATTCCTATACACTGTATGTTTAAAATTACAGTAACCAAAACAAATAGCTTTCTGTTTATTTTACTTCGCCTGTAACAGGACTAACAAGTTACTATGGGCTGGCAAACTCTGCACTGGTTTTGGAATCTGAACCAGGGTTTCTTTTGAAAAATGTTCAAGAAGCCAGCTATGGAGGCTATGTAAACCTATGCAGTTTACAGTTGATCCGTTTCTGCAGTGCGTTTGACATTTTTTGCATCTCAGGAAATCATTAAATACACTATAATGCGTTTCTGCATAATGCACCACAAAATGCTTAGGTGTGAACCTAGCCTTACTTTGTTAGCCAGAAAAGCTTTTTGTGTGTTCTGATTACCAACACCTAACTTTCCTGATTATGGCCAAGCTTAACTGCTAGCCCCTGTCCAACAAGTCTTCCTCAGAAGCCAATACAGATGCCCTCAATGAGCTGGGGGATGGGATGGCAGTTGATGGAACGTGGTCAAAAAGTTAAGCTGCCATCTTGCAGCAACCTGTGTGGAAGGTTTTAGTACACCACTTCTACAAGCCTAGGACCTGAATATAAAACCCAAGTGGGACTTTAGAACTATTACTCTAATGGCATGCATGGTGTGCACACATTTTGCACAAGATAATAAATGTCTGCTTAGGCCACAGTTTAGTACTTCTACAAATACTGATCATGAGCACATACCGGACACAAAAAAAAAAAAAAAAACAAAAAAAAAAAACACGTATGTACAATTTTAGGCAGGATTGTTTACCATGATTAAATAAAAGCAGCCGGCCCCAGCCAAAGCTGTGCACACTTCTTCCTGGTGGAGTACATAACACTGAAGTCATTCTCACCAAAGCGAAGGAGGCTCTCGTCAGCTTTGGTTAACTCGGCTATGCAGCCTACAAGCAGAGCTATTTTCTCATTCTTTACCCTGAAAAATAAATCGACAGCTGTTAAAGGAAAAAAGAACCAATGCAAACCTTTAGAATATTAGCAATCCATCTCTTTCATATACTTATCCTAAATAAGACTCAAACGAAGTATAATGAAGTTTAAGTTCCCCTTTGTTTCAGCCCAATGTAAAGTTTACATGCTAATAGGGTTTCAATAGTTTAGGAAGCAGGAGTGATCAATAGTGTTGTATTTCCAATAAAATTTTACCTTGAAAGCAAAAAAGAATCCTTTTGTATGCTTGACTTCTAGAAAAAGGTCTGATATGTTTGGAAAGGTTCACTGGTAATATAAAGATATAAACTCCAAAAAATTGTGGGACTTTCCTGGTACAGTGTAGGACAGACATCTCATTAAAAATCATTTTATAAAATGTCACTGAACTCCTATACCACAGAGTCAGCGGAGATAGGTGGCAGGCAGATGCAACATCAGGGTGCAAAGTGCCAGGGGTACTGAATAATTTAGAAGCTCAAAGTCTACGCTGACTGAGCAACACTCAACAAGGTGCAAACTCCTAGATAGCATTGCAAGCAAGGCAAGCAATAAGGAGTTTAGTTAGCATGAGGGAAGGACATTAGGATGAAAGCAATTTAAACTATAGTTAGCCTTTAGGCCTGTTTCAGACATGTGTTGAAGTAGTGTACAATTTAGAGACAGCATAGAAATAGACGGCTGAGAAAGGCAGGAAAGGAGCAGAGCAGTGTATACAGTGACTGGCTATCACTATATGTCAGTGCCAGGTTTGAAATGTAATTACCGGCTTTCTTTTTTTTTTCACTATAGCTCACAGAATTAGCCGTCACTTTCCCCCCAAGCTAAAAAAAAAAAAAAAAAAAAAAAAAAAAAAAAACCACCACAAAAAACAGCAAATTGCATTTAAAAACCAGCACAGACATAGTGACAGCCAGTGAGGGAGCCTCTCCGTATACACTGCTCCTCTCCTGCCCCCTCCCCCTTACAAAAAGAGAACTGGTCACTCATATGCTATCACATAGAGGACTATTGGTCACTATGTTAAAGCAATAAAATCATAAGTTAAAAAAAAATAAAAAAAAATATACATGAAGTAGAAAAAAATTTTTTTTTTTACAAATTGGAGCCTCCTCACATACACAGACATTTCAGTTTCGGCCACATGCATTCTGAATTTTCGGTATTGGTTTCGACACCAGAATTTTAATTTCGGTGCACCACTAAAATAAAGCTTATGCGTTGGTACAAGTAATTTTGTAATAGGTTATTAAAAATTACCCTTCAAATTTCAAATCTGCAGGTGCTGTAATTTTGTAAAAAGGTTTAAAAATTCAATGCAATATAGCAACTTGGATGTATTCTGTACATGGCTGGTGTATACAAGTTCCCCAGAAATGTAATTTCCTGCCTGTGCGATTGGCTCACTGATGTTCTCAATTTTGCAATGATACAAGTCAAATTTTATGCATCCCTGCTTTTGGAATTTCAGTTTTGGCAATATACGCTCAAAAGGGTTCAGTACTTCTAAAAAAGGGATGCAGATACTGCAACTTTTAAAGTGCATTAGGAGATTAATATGTCAGCACACCAAAGGATCTTCAGAAAAGCATTAAAAAAAAAACAAAAATCAAATCACAGCAGTAAATTGCAGTGTTTCGGGACCACGCAGGACCCCTTTCATCAGTGGGTACATACCTGATGGAGTCCTGGGTAGCTCAAAACATTCAAAATTTATTACAGTGATGTGATCCTATTCTGAAGAGCTATTGTGTGCTGGTATGGTTTGATTTGTAGCAACTACAGCCTGGGAACCAGCATGAGCACAGCACCGACTTACTTCAAGCCATTTCCAGAAACATGCGTGATAAGAACATTCTACTTTAGGTGATTATAATGAACACAACCCCTCCCATTCAGGAATCAGTGTAGAAACAACTTGGTGAAAAAGCAATTTCTTCAGAACTGAAAAGGTAGGCATCTGCAAAAACATTTGTTAAAATTGTTGCAATGTAGACACATCACCCATGAAAATGTTTAAGAGAATTCATCAGTAAATTTGATACCTTAACTTTAAAGTGGAACTTTACCCATAAAGACTTGTGAAATGTCTGTTCTTTGCTATATGGCATTTTTTTTTCAACAATAATTCTACCAAAAAATTAGGGCGTGCTGTAAATTGCCTCCAGCAATGTTCCTGTTTATTCTTGCTGGAGGCTGCCATTTTCCTAACCCCCAGAGCCCCTGAGCAGCAGTAAACCTTTAGGCTGTGAGAACGGCCTCCACAAATTCTAGAAATAGAGAGCAACTGAGCATGTGCAGAGCAGAGTAGGACTGTGTATTACTGGATTTTAAATATAGGCGCTTATTTTTAATGTTTTACATAACTATACCTGCAAAAGGGGCCAGCCTGAAGCGATCTAGCAAGATTTGATTTTCTGACTAAAGTTCCACATTAAAGAATGTCATTCAAAAGTTCTTGCAAATTCCATTTGCTTTTAGCATTCGGTTGTGAAGTGAATAGGCTTCCCACAAAAATCATACTCCGTTAGGAAAATGTGAATGAGCAGGATGGAAATTTTTTTTTTTTTTTTCTTGAATGAACAAATTTCTATCATTTCGGTCAAAAGTTAATTTGACCTTAATAATGATCAGAAAAACTGAACAAAAACATTCTTAAAAGAAAAATTCTTGCACAAAGTTATATTGGCATATGGCCAGCTTTGCGCTAGAAGGATAAGGAAACTTTTAAGCAGTATTTTTCTGAATATTTTAACCACCCCATCTACTCCCCCACTGCACTGCTCTAACTACTCCTCCCATACTCCCACCACTCTGCGGTATACCTGCGCAGTTCTGACAGTTCCCCAGTGTTTTGCTGCAATGTTTACCTGTGGCCAGTGAGTCTTCTCATTGCCTGTGCATTTGCAGTAGAACACGAAAAGTAGATCCACCAGCCATGCATAGGAAGCAGGATTCAGACTCAATATTTTGCTATTCTGATCTTCTACAACCAGCAATCAGCTTCCGGCACTGAAGTCTCCCAAAGCTAATAACTTATTTGGAGCTCGTCGGTAGATCACATGACCAGGAGAAACCACAAATAAGTCATTTGTGACAGGAGACCTGCTGTGCTGGGGAGTGAATCGATGCTTTCAGCAAAGACAGCTGCCGGTTAGAGATCAGAAGCACTGTCATTAAATACCAGGATGCTCCGGAGGGTACTGTAAAGCGTCTGGGATAATTCAAAATGGCAAAAGTGCAGTAGCATAAATGTTTAAATGTACTCCAGCACCAGTCACACCAACCATACCCCAGTGGGACGTACATCCAGAGTGGACCATACTGCAGACATGTCTATGATGCAATGGGGCATGGCTCTCTAAATTCTGGCCCCGTCAGCTCACACCACCCATACCCCTGGCTTGTAATGCAACTTATACAGACACCAATCCACGTTCTGGCTGCTTATACCACCAAGTCCCTAGTAACTTGAAAATACCACAAACTCCATGCCTGAAACCTCCCCATGTTACTGTGCCTACACACCACCAGTATTCTTACCTCAGCATCTGATGCCACCATCCTCACTCACTGCACCTGACCCCTATTCACTCTCCCCACTCTCACCACTTCTCACTTCATTCACCACTGCACCAACAACCACCTATGGACTCACTGCCACTGCACATATGGATTCCTTGATACTCTCCACCACTGAAAAAATGGGCACTTTTGTGCTCTCCACCATTGCAGTAACACACACTTCTGTATTCACTTACCAAGGCTTTATAGCAACTACTTTGGCTCCATTGGTTTCCAGAGAGTACCGATTGCAAGGCAGGATCATGAAGCCACTCTCTGGCAGGAACATTCGCAAGTATCGGAATATCTGGAAGTGAAGAGCAGGAGTAAAGTTTTAAAGACTTGTCCATGGTCATCCAAAAAAATATAAAAATCTGCTTTGATGTGGTAGTAAACTTGACACCAGCACTATAAAAGCCCTGACCTAACACAAACATATCCATCCATTCACCATCATTATAGAACCAGTAACAACCTCCCACTTCCACCACCACATAGATAGAGAGAGAGAAAAAAAAAAAAAAAAAAAAAGTTTCCCGCATCAACATAAGCAATGTTGCTGAAGGGATCTACCTGTCTGTTCTTTTGTATTCTGATAAGGGGGACTCCTACCACTGTTAGACTACACAGATTGGGGCAGCAGTCAAGGCAGAAGACCAGCTTCTGTTGAATGGACACAGCTATGCATTTACTACGCCTTAGAGACACCGGTGACTGGACACTGGCAAAAAAAATAATTTGATAGGGCAGTACCTATTCCACACTCCTGAAACCCAAAAACCTGTGTCGCCAAGGTGACATGGGGCCAAAAAAAACTGGAGATTTATACGAGAAACTGCCTGAAGAAAAAAGTTTTGGTTAAAAAATTGCAAGGCAAACTGTTTCTAGAAGAGAATGGTTAGGGCAGAAACCAGTCCCTTAGGGGAACTCAGAGCAAGACACTGGGTCGGGACCAGACAACAGAAAGGAAACTATACAGTGTTGCCTCATCTTCCTGTCCTCACTAGGCAAAGAAAGTACAGTGCCTTAAAAAGTATTCATACCCCTTGAAATTTTCCACATTTTTTTTATGTTACAACCAAAAACCAATGTATGTTATTGGGTTATTCCGTTTGTTTTCCAGCATGTCAGAGATTACTCGGCTATAACTGAGGCCATGGAGGAAGAGGAGGACTTTTAGGCTGTGGTGTTTCCTGTGTTATGGGTGGAGCTGCGCTCTCTCCAGGTGCTGTCCTGAAGGGCTCCTAGAAATACAGTCACCAGTAAATCCAACTAAGGATTTCTATAGGCGACCGTTTTAAAGCCCCTTATAGGTCATCAGTATAGTGACTCGGAGGATTTCTCACGCTAGAATTATTGCTCTCATTCTGGTATGTGCGGCAATATGTAACATATGTATTGCAATGAACATTTTCATGTGTAGACATGCTTTTACTTTTGTACGTGTGTATATGTGGGGGCTCAAATTTTTTTTTGAGGGGATGTTATGTGCCTGGGAGCATAGGATGTCCTCCCAGAAAGCACCCTACCCCACACGCCCCAAGCCGTGTGCACCTGGCGATCTCCGTGATCGCTGTGTCCTACAGACACAGCTGATCATGAGATGCGGTAAAAGGCCAATCACAGCGGCATTTTACCGTGTAATGACAGAGCAGATCACCAGGTAATACAGCTGCCAAAAACCGGCAGCTGTCAGAGAACAGATCGGCACTGATGATCAGTGCACTGATAAGTTCCTGTCAGTTCTGCATATCAGTGCCACCTCAGTTCCCATCAGTGCTGCCTATCTGTGCAGCCTCATCAACACACAGCGAAGGAGAAAAATTACCTGTTAGCAAATCATTTGAAAATTTTGCACTTTTTTTTTTCTTCACTATAAAACAAACACCCAGTGGCAATTAAATACCACCAAAAGAAAACTATGTATGAAAAAAATGATAAAAATTTCATATGGGTACAATGTTGCATGACCACACAATTGTAATGCAAAGTGCGACAGCGCTGAAAATTGGCCTAGGCAGGAAGGGGGTACAAGTGCCCAGCAAGCAAGGGGTTAATCCTTATGCTACCAGGCTTACAAATAGATAGGAAAGCATAATATAGATTTTCTTGATTTAAATTTTTTTTTTTTACATTTCTTCAGTCGCTTCCTTTTTGGCATTTCTCTTTCATCTGGATTGGGGAGTTTGTGAACATTTAAAATGAATTAATAGAGGTTTCAGTTTGTGGTACTTTGGCTTAAATTGGGCAATAAAGTGAAATTTAATCAAACTCTTCTCTAGTACTAGCTGTGGTTTTGTTGGAACATGCTGCTGGGAGATATGACTACCCTCTGTGTGAGAGCAGCTAAGTCTTTAAAGCCATCCAACAATGCTCACTTCAGCAAGCATTGCCACTGACAGGACAGTGAACAAAAAGCGTGTTAAAATTTTCCCCAAAAGAAATCTCGTTAGAAATGTTCAATATAGGTTATTGGACCCTGTAACCAGTGCAGTGTATAGGACATTTAAGACATGCCTCAGAGATGACAAGCGCAACTGTGACAGTTGCTCATCTTCAACCAAAATTTAAAGCCTATAAATGGCTGATGCCCTTGCTAATCAAATATGCAGCACCATGGCAGTTGCAAGGGCGAAATAGAGGCAAGGAGGGCATTGTTCTTAGATGCAACAAGATGCATGGGTTTAGTTTTGCTTTACTACTAGGTGGGAACCATGAATCTAGTTCAACACCTTTACTGTGACCTTAACCACTTGCCCTCCAGAGGATTTACCCCCCTTCCTGACCAGGGCATTTTTTGCGATACGGCGCTGTGTTACTTTGACAATTGTGCAGTCATGCAACACTGTGCCCAAATGAAATGTATATCTTTTTTTTCCCCCCCACAAATTGAGCTCTGTGGTATTTGATCGCCTCTGCTTTTATTTTTTCCACTATAAACAAAAAACACATAAATTTTTTTTACTATTTATTAACCGCTTCCCGTCCACCCTACAGCGATTTTTTTAATTTTTTTTTTTATTGGACATGTTTAATAGCAAAAAGCCAAAAATATTGTTTTTTTTTCCTCTCAAAATTGTCAGTCTTTTATTTATAGCACACACACAAAAAACAAAAAACACAAAAAACCACCAACAATCAAATACCACCAAAAAACAAGCTCTATTTGTGAGTACAGCGTTGCATAACCGTGCAATTGTCCGTTAAAGAAATGCAGCACCAGAATGCAAAAAAATGGCCTGGTCAGGAAGGGGGGGGTGGGGCATGGGTGTTTAATCCACTGGAGGGCAAGTGGTTCAACATGTCCAGTAAAAAAAAAATATTAGAAAAAAAAATAAAAAAATTTAGGACAAAATATATTCTGCTACGTCTTTTTTTTTTTTTTTTTTTTAGAAAAGACATGTAGCAGAATATATTTTGTCCTAAATTTTTTTTTTTTTTTTTTCCTTTTTCTAATTTTATTTTTTATTTTTTTTTTAACTGGACATGTTGAACCACTTGCCCTCCAGTGGATTAAACACCCACGCCCCACCCCCTTCCTGACCAAGCCATTTTTTTTTTTTGCATTCCGGCGCTGCATTTCTTTAACGGACAATTGCACGGTTATGCAACGCTGCACTCACAAATAGAGCTTTCGGTGGTATTTGATTGTTGGTTGTTGTGTTTTTGTTTTGTTTTTTTAGCCAAAAGTCCAATATTTGTAAATTAATTGGTTTACATGGAAGTTATAGCATTTACAAAATGGTGGTATATATACACACTGGAATTTTTTTATTTTTTAACTAGTAATGGTGGTGATCAGCGACTTATAGTGGGACTGTGCCAGGCATTCTGACACTAGGGAGGGAACTGGACTGTCACCGACATCCCCAGTGACACTAATACAGTGATCAATGCTAATAAAAAGCACTGACAATGTACTGACACTGGGCAGGAAGGGGTTAACATCTGGGTGATCAAAGGGTTAACTGTGTGCGTGTTTTTACAGTGTAAGCATGCGTGCTTTGTATTGCTCTGCTATGTAGAGCAATACAAAGCAGCGTGCAGGAGCGGACAAGGGAGAGATCTGTATTGTTTACATACAGACTTCTCCCCCGTCAGTGATACTCGATTGCCGGTGGGGAATCACCGACAGTGACTCGGTGATTGACAGCTGAAGCCGCCAACGGTGGCGCACCACCTACATAGAAATGCAAAAGACACACACTAATTTGATGGCATTCAGTTCTAGAATATGACGGGAGTCCAACTCCTCAGAGGACCAGTTCCTTTGAACCATTCATAAACCAAGCCCCATCCCCCAGCCTATAAATCTAGCATCCGTTGTCACTACCTGTCAAGGCATGAAAAGGAATGACCTTCCCCAAATCCATGGCAGAGGTGGAGATCCATCATACCAGGGAGACATGCAACTGGGTGAACAGATGCATAGGGTGATCTATAGGATAAGTGCAGCTGTGCCGCCCTGTAGCAATATTTCTGCTATAGGGCGGCGGGCAAGCAACTAATGATAACACTTGAAAATATACAATGCACATCAACATGCAGTCTCATGGTCACAGGTAAGAATATGCTTCCACAAGAAGCACAAACATATACTGGATGTATGTTAGCACATTTACTATAAACATCTTGAAATTGAGAATTAATCTCTGGTGTGGGAATGTACCATGTGTTAAGTGCACATTTACACCCCTTAGTCATTAATAGGTTCAGCATGCCTGATGATACCCTGCTACTGAATGAATACAATACACAGATGCATACATATAAATAAAAAAGTCAATTTACATGTGCCTTCAGCGTAGCTTCCTGCTGTGTTATTTGGTTTTTGAGGTAATGATTGGCCCCTGTTATAAGAGCACGGAATGCTGCCTCCAGGTCTCTCTTCTTACGGAATGTGTGCAGTGCCTCTCTCAAGTGATGCTGTCTCCTTATAGAAGGCAGTGGACTAAAAAAAAAAAAAAAAAAAAAAAAAAAAACCCACACATTAAATATATTGCACATATACACAACAGGTATCCCTAAGGTTAACCTAGCCTTAAGGTAACCCCAATTTATCTTAACAGTGATAACTTGCAACAAAAAATAGTTAAGTTATATATAGAAAATTTGTATAAAATGAAAGGCTTTGGAGTGAAATGTAAATAAAAATGGTTTGTAAAGCAAAGGTTTACATGTGTGAGGATTAGAATTTCTCTCTGCATCCAAGAGACATTAGATAAAAGAAATAAAGTAAAATATGCTCACATTGCACAAAAAGCACCAGTGTTTACATAAAAGCAGTAAGGTTTTGGTTAAATGTTAAGGTACATGCAGGGAGCGAATTAGAGCACAACTAAAGCATTCCTTTTGTTTTTACATGCAAAACACTGCATTTATGCATGCACTATTTGACTTGCAATTTCAAATTTAATATCTTGACCTATATTTAGGTTATCTCTCCATGGAATTAGTGGGCAGGTGGTGAAGGCAGTGCTGCATCTGAGGAAAGGAATGTCCTTCCCTCAACTAAGTTCCCTGTGGGAACTACTCATCCTTTGCCAGGAACCGGAAGCAGGTAAGCAACACAGCACTTCCTGGTTATCCTCTTCCCAATCTTCTCTTTTACCAAGCAATTTTATAAAATTAAGCTGTCAATCACATGAGAAGGTAACCTGAAAGCTAAGAGTAGGTGGAGTCTTGTTTTGTGTGGTCTGTTATACAGATATAGGAGGGACGTTTGAAAAGCCTAGAACACACAAAAACAGCTTCACGTTCTGCTGGAAGCGTGAGAAGTGGCGTTAGGACTCCAGATCAATTCTTAACTGAAAATCTACAATGAGGTCTGTAATTTTTATCATAGGTAGATTTTTAAAATGATAGAGACAGAATATCAACCAAAAATCCATAAAAAACACGATACAAATGTTATAAATGGAGTTGCAGTTCAGTGAGTAAAATAAGTATTTGATCCCTGAGCAAAACATGACTTGGTGGAGAAACCCTTGCTGGCAAGCACAAAGTATTGACGCATACATCTTGTAGTTGGTTACCAGGTTTGCACATCTCAGGAAGGATTTTGGTCCACTCTTTGCAGATCTTTAAATGCTTAATCGCTTCTCGCTCGCAATGCATTGCATACAGGGTGGCAGCTACAGGCAAAGTGACGTACCCGTACGTCGCTCTGGCTGTACTAACACAGGGGGGGTGTAGAGCCCTTCCCCCTTGCGACTGATGTGTCCGGCGGACACAGCGGAATGAAGATCGTGGTGAACGGGACCCAGTGATCTCTATACGATCACATGATCACAATGTAAGCAAAGCTGTTATGAATCAATCATTCATAGCAGCTCTGCTCCTCTTCCTAGTAAGCTGTGATTGGCCCACAGCTGTCACATGGGGCCAATCACAGCACCCTGTAAAATGTTACCAGCTCCAGCCAATCACAGATCACTATCCTGATCTGTCAAAACTTAACTCATTCATGACAATTAATGAAGGAGTTAGGTTCATGACAGCAAGCTTTGCATTGCAGGAGAAATGAAATTTATTTCTCCTGCAAAGCAATCTGTAAAAAAAAAAAAAAAAAAAACCTAAAAATCCCTGATCACCCCCCCCCCCCCCCACAGTAGTACAGTGTTACCATAGTAACATTGTGCTTTTTTTCTGATAAAAAAAAAAAAAAAAAAAAAAAAAAAAAAAAAAACAACACTACACCTCTTAATTTTTTAACCACTTCCAGACCGGACACTTTTACCCCCTTCCTGACCAGGGCAATTTTCAGCTTTCAGCGCTATCACACTTTGAATGACAATTGCGCGGTCCTGCAACACTGTACCCAAATTAATTTTTTACCATTTTTTGAGACAGATAAAGCTTTATTTTGGTGGTATTTATTACTGCTGGGATTATTTTTTTTTTGCTATGTAAATGAAAGTCCAAAAATGTTGAAAGTGTTTTTTTCATAAAATTTTGCAAATAAATATTTCATCAAAAATCTTGGCCAAAATTTATTCCGTTATCTTTTTAGTAAAAAAAAAAAAAAATCCAAATTAGTTTATAAAAAAACAAAAATTATAATTTTTTAAAACATTTTTTTTTTTTTTTTTTATATTTTTATTTTTTACATACGGTCACCCTAGCAGTACAGTGTCACCATGGTGACACTGTACTACTTGTGGGGGGTGATGAAGTTTTTTTGTTTTTTTTTTTACACCCATATAGGATGTAAAAGCAATCATTTCTTTCTCTCCGTCTGCATTCTTGCAGTCATTGAGAAGTACTGAGTGAGCTGTGATTGGTCACAGCTTGTCACATGGTACAAGGCTGGTGTGAATCGCCTTGTACCATGTGACCTCTTATCACAGATTTCACACGTAGTAAGCAATGTCACAAGCGACATCTTGCTTACTACTTTGCATGTGATCACTGATTGGCCAATCAGTGATCACATGATCGGGACCTCGTACAGAGGTCCCGTCCGACAATCGGTGTTTCACTGTGTCCAGAGGACACAGCGGGCTCCATATCGCGGTGCTGCGCGCTCCCAGGAAGCGCGCACAAGCAGGGTGCAGGGAGGCCGTTTATATACAACGGCCGGTCGGGAAGTGGTTAACTACTTGCCAATCGCTTACCTGCATTTTGCGGGCGAGCAGCAGCTCTTGGCAACGCGACATAACCTTACATCACTTCCCCATTTTGGGGTGTGAACGCACCTGCCCCCCCCCCCACGGCATCAAGTAAAAGCACTACAATACACAAACACACCCCTTTGGTTGCCCCTATTAACTCTGATCACCCAGTCACCCAACCACTGCCATTAGTACAGTGCCAGTATATAACATTTTTCATTGCCACTAGCGGCATCAGACAACGTCAGGGTCAGTAAGCGCCCCTCCCAGCCAGGGGTATCTAGCATTAGATTGCCAGCACACTACCGCACTCACGCTCTAGGTTGATCACCGCCATTACTAGTTTAGTGTTTGTACAGATAAAGAGATTGATCACATACAGAACTATACTAGTGCCTCCTTTGTATAGAGTCCCCAAAAACACTTAATATGAGCGGCCCAGTTCGCGGCCAGCACTAGCGTTTAGTCTCTCTGCTGTTTTTCATGGAAGATTTGTATCATTTTGATTTGTGGGCCAAGGCATTTTATACGCACAACAATACGTCACCGCCCACCCAAATTCAGCTCTTGCCAATGCGGATGGAAACCTATCACGGTCTCTGAATTCAAAACTCTTTTGGGCCCAACCCTCAACATGGGCATTACAGAAAAGAATGAATTGCCGTCATATTGATCCACAGAGCCAATTCATCGTATGCCCAGGTTCTCTGCGGTTTATATATATATGCCCAACGTGGACCAGAAACATTCTGGCACGTCACAGGACTTTGAGAGGTCCAGTTTTCTTGGGTTCTCCTGTCCCAGAGAGGAATCAGAATGCAGCCAGCAGTTCCGCTAGCTGACCGAAGAGCTGGTCAGAGAACAGAATGGCTGCAATCATCTCTATAGTCAGACAGTGGTCTCCAAACTGCGGCCCTTTGCTTGCCTTTATCCAGCCTGATACAAGACACTATTCTGTCAACTGACACCACCTATGGGGCACCATTTCTCCAAATGATACAAAACGATGATGCACTATTCTTCTACGTAACATGAAACGTGATGTTAACTCCCACTGATGCCAGGTAAATTTCCGCTCCCACTGGCCACAGTCCGGCCTACCTAAAGTCTGAAGGACAAAAACGGGCCCTTTGTTAGAAAGTTTGGAGACCCTGGTCTAAGAAAATCGGAAACCAATAGCAAGCATCTGATCACACACACAAAAAAAAAAAAAAAAAAAGTTCCAAGGACTCAACATGCCTCTCCTTGGGGTGTCTACTTTGTCATTTGGAGAGAGAGAGACCACGAGAGAGAGAGAAAAAGAACACACACACACAGAGAGACAGAGAGAGAGAGAGAGAGACACAGAAAACAGACAAAGAGAGAGAAGACAAAAGACAGAGAGACACAGAGAGAAGAGAGAGAGAGACACAGAGAGAGAAGAAGACACAGAGAGAGAGAGAGAGAGACAAAAAAAAAGAGAGAGAGAAGAGACACAAAGAGAGAAAGAGAGAGAACAAGAGAGAGAGAGAGAGAGAGAGAAAGAGAGAGAGAGAGAAAGAAAAAAAGACACAGAGAGAGAGAGAAAAAAGAGAAAAAGAGAGAAAAAAAGAGAAAAAAGAGAAAAAGAGAAAAAGACAGAGACAGAAGAAAGAACAGAAAAAAGAAGAAAAGAAAAAAAGACAAAAAGAAAGAAAAGAAAAAGAAACAAAAAAGAGAGAGAAAAAAGAAAAGAAAGAGACAAAAGAGAGAGAAAAAAAAAAAAAGAGAACAAAAAAAAAAAAAAAAAAAAGAAAAGAGAAAAGAAAAAAAAAAAAAAAAAGAGAAAGAAAAAAAAAAAGAAAGAAACAAAAAAAAGAAGAAGAAAAAAAAAAAAAAAAAAAAAAGAAAAAAAAAAAAAACAAGAGAGAGAGAGAAGAGAAAAAAAAAAAAGAAGAGAAAGAGAACAAAGAGAAAAAAAAAAAAAAAAAGAAAAAAAAAAAAAAAGAAAAAGAAAGAGAAAAAAAAAGAGAAAAAAGAGAAAAAAAAAAAAAAAAAGAGAAAAAAAAAAAAAAAAAAAAAAAAAAAAAAGAAAAAGAAAAAAAAAAAAAAAAAAAGAAAAAAAAGAAAAAAAAAAAAAAAAAAAAAAAAAAAAAAAAAAAAAAAAAAAAAAGAAAAAAAAAAGAAAAAAAAAAAAAAAGAAAAAGAGAAAAAAAAAAAAAGAAAAAAAAAAAAAAAAGAAAAAAAAAAAAAAAAAAAAAAAAAAAAAAAAAAAAAAAAAAAAAAAAAAAAAGAAAAAAAAAAAAAAAAGAAAAGAAAAAAAAAGAAAAAAAGAAAAAAAAAAAAAAAAGAAAAAAAAAAAAAAAAAAAAAAGAAGAAA